GAAGTAGGAGCTTCTCAGAAACCTAGAGAACACCCAAGGATTTTGGAGATTATAGGGCCACCCACTACCTACAACAATGCCTGTGAAACTATGGTAGAATCACGCTGGTCGATGAGGGGATGAAGTGGCACGTGGTAGCTCATTTCTGCCGATGGCAGGAAAGAGACAACCTGTCGGCACCTTCGCCGCCGACGGGCAGCGCACAGCAGGAACGAAAAAAACAAGGGTGACATACTGGCTCTCTACAGGACTATCGACGCCGTAGCTTTGAAATTTCAGTCACACATGCTTTCAAGCGCTGTGTCCAACTGTGCTTGGATTGTGCTGGCTCGCCACCTTTAACGATGAGTTATGCATGCTCACTTCAGTGTCGGCTAAATTCGTGCTGTCATACGCATCTTTGGCTGTTAGTGCCATTACATACTCCGCATTGATCTCAGGAGGTGGATGGCTCTCCAACTTGAACTGACCGGGGAATAGCCGCCGCTTGCCTAGAGGCTATTCGTGAGTGGCATTTATGGAAAGACTTTTTCCTGTCGCCGAGTACAGCCGGTCAATGGCATCGTGTAATATATTTCGATATGGGCCTACGCATCCTTCTCCCCATTGCTTCCCACTCTTGCTGACATATGCTTCCTGTTTAGTGAAGTAGTTTTTGCCCACAATCAAGCTGAGTGCATGATTCTGCATTGGTGTTTGTCCTGCACTTGACCTTTGAGGAAAAACCACTGTACTGAACGAGCACCACGTAGTAGTGCTTGCAGTTCTTTTTTGCGCAGTTTCATGGGCAATTTAATAGCTACTCCCAAAACCACTAGCAGCTACGCACACCCAGTGTTCATCAGGGCTTTTAAGCCCCAAAGGTAAGTGGAAATGCAGGAAAACCTATACCTCCAGCTTGAAACAAATTTAAGTGGTTAGAGGAGTCAGGGTAAATTTCGGTACTCCAAACCTTATTATAATTGTATGCTAGGTCACCATTGATAAGCTTGCGAAGGATACTAAGCTTAAATGTAATAAACTACAAGGGTGATATACGTATGTTTGGTAATATGCCTCTTGTACAACAGTAGAGGTGTACCCACGACACCAGGGCTCAGTACCAGCTTTTACACCAAGACACTCTATTACTATTGAGCGAGCCTAAGGTGTTCAGGCTCCGTCTACGCGGTAAGAAGTCATAAGCATGAAATGGGGGCTGCCTGCCATATAGAGGCACGAATTATGGAACCACATGACTGGTTTTGAGGCCCACTTGGGAGGCATTATCTATCTGGGAAGGACAAGAGACCCTTCTTTTCTCCCGACCAAGGAACATTCTCTACAAGAATCAAAAGTCCCACAATCATGCTGAGTAACCCACGGCCTGGTTTGGAATAGATTTTCATCCGGCAAAATACATTACTCAAGTTCGAGAGTCCGATAAACCGATCATTTTCACCACACATGTACATCTGTATGAAGTTAAAAATGGACAGGGTTGAGAAATTACTGCGCAATAAATGCTTACGCTCATCTAGCTGCTCGTGGATGCAGTGGCCCTGAGGTACCGGGGTAAAATACACTAACACACTTTCTGCGCCAGCAGTCACATTCAACAACAGATTAGCATTAAATTGACTAACTGGTTTGTCTATCTGTGTAACTTATTTGTTGCACGGAACTGCTAGCTGAATAGTAGGACCTACACTTTTGTATGCATATGTGCAACTAGCCGCTGTGAATGCTAGGAGTGCGTGGAGGGTGCAGGTACGCCCACTCTTACCTTTGCTTTCCCCTTGCGTCAGGAATGGCCCGTGTGTAAAGGACGGGATCGTTTTTGAGACCCCCAACAACTATCTCAAATGTGCACGGAGTCCGGATTACGTGTCGCCCCACGAAGACCTTACATGGAGCATTACAGTTGGTAGCACCGCATAGTTGGATGCATTTGTTCCTTGCTTATTCACTGGCTGTAGAAGTAGTGGGATCACAGCTTTTCCACAAAAGTTGTAAGCTTCATCTTAAGTTTTTTAGTAATTGAATAAGTTATTTTTGCGTGGCAAGATGCTCGGTAAAAGGTCTGCTAACGGAAGTAGGCGGTGGCACTACGAGTGTTGGGGTGGCATAGGAAGGTCTGCCAGCCGATGTATATGAGGTAGCTTCACAGCTGGTACAAAGCCGTCATTTGTCAGCCGAAGAACAGTGTGCGAGCGTGCCGATGAGGCTACGCCAATCAGAAAACTACTTGGCCGAATCAATGCCCAGGTAATGAAGAATTTCATCAGCTAGTTGCAGATGTACCTCGCACTGTAGACTAAGCGAAACGAACATTCTTTGCGACCTGTTTCGGAAGGGAGACAAACTACATTGGTGGATCTATTACTGTGGCAATCGTCACCTGTTGCAGGGATCGAATACAGTTCAAACGCCCATGCAAACCCTGACTTATTGGCTAATGACAAAATCAGCTCAAAAGCAAGCTAGTAAAGAATTGAGTAAACTGAGGTAGGGAACTCTATCAATAGATCGATGTATTTGGAGAAACATGAAACATTGCTTTGCAAAAGCCATCAAGTAGGCAAAAGTTGGTTTATCGGTGATTTACCTCAAAACCACCCGAAGTGTTACGTCAGGTGGTAGCAGGAAAGCCAACGAATCGGCCATTTTACACCTGATCGGTGAGACTTCGGCAAATGACAGACTACTTGAGGCTTAAGGAGCATACGAATGCAACGCTTGAGTTGTTGGCTTAGTAAAATGACTTACGTCAGGAGTTGGAACCCCTAAATATCGGAGTTGTGTCAACCAGCTTAAGGCAGGCCGAATGCGCGTTCCTTAGCACCCCCAGAGAGCCCTCAACAGCACACTAGTTTATGTTGTATAATTCTTTGACATATATATTCCAGAAGAGCAAGCGCATGCAGACAACCAGGAGCCTTGACAACGGGATTATATTCAGCGGAATCAGGCTCCTTGCAAAAAAACAAGGCCCCACAGTGAGATGAAAAGCTTCCCAGTCAGGCTGCGGCGGAGTGAGGGGGCTACCAACAACAGAATAGCCAGTAGAACGCCATGATAGATCCTTGCTGGGCTGTACAAACTTTCACCAATGGTCCAGAAATGGTAGCGTTACTGGAAACTAGATGTGAAGTGGATTTATTAGCCGAGAGGGCACGGCAGTGCAGTCTGCCTTTTCACTGGCTAATGCATTCCCTAAGAAGTAGATTTGCGGATGGTGACAAAATGGAAGAATTGGCAAGGTTGAAGCAGGTCCATGCTGCTGCACCGCGGTACTAAGCTCTATCAGCATAGCATGCGACTTCTATGTTGGACCCGCTCACGTCGCCACGAGGTAATCGTAGGTAAGCCAAGAGTAAACGTAGTCGAAGGCGCACATGAGACCAGAACTACGCTGTGTGGATTCCAGCAAGCCTGGAAATGCTGGAAAAGGTAAATCGTGATTTTTTCAACCAAGTTCAATTCATATTTGGTGGGTGGGTTTGAGTGAGTGCCTATGCGCGCGACTCAGCGGTACAATAAGAGAACAGCAAGCTGAGCGTACATAGCGTCTAAGTGGACCTGAAGCTAACTCGTTACTGGGACATTTAATTTAAACTTTCAGCAGTAGAAATACAGAATTGAGCTAGTTTCAAGGACTAGTTTACAAATCTATTAAATAATGACGATCTTGGAACGCTGTCCAGGGCATCGTATTCAGCTATTTCGTAGCTTAGCTCCAATCTATTTTCCACGGTTTCAAGAGCTTCCACAGCAAGAGGAAAGAACATTGAGCGGTGTGTGGATGATATACTGAACAAGGCAAATGCAGGAATTCACCAGCCCCTTTCGGCATTTTCAGGTAAGGGTGCCAGAAGGGGACTGGCAGTGGTTCTTGTGGGTTAACTTTAGGCTCCTCAGCAAGCTCACTTTAAAGCATTACTTCCGATTCCTAATATTGGTGAGCTTTTAGGCGACTACTCAAAGGAGTAGTCTGTTCGGCATTTGATTTCACAGATGCCTTCTTACAAATATCCATGCACCATGATAACAGGCACAAAACAGTGGTTCAAACGCTCTCGAAAAATCGGGTATACCTATGTGTTTTACCGCTCGCTTGTTCGGCACCTAAAGTGCGATATTTGCATAATCGGGCTTGTAGAGGCCTATCAGGGAGGGCCGGATAAGTGTCTACACACAACACGTCCTAACAATCAGCTGAAACACTCAAGAGCCCATACAACACCTAGAGCGTGCGCAGCTGTTACTCGACAAGCTGTGGTCTGTGAAGGCACGTAGATGGTCGTTTTCACCAACATACTTATGTTTTTGCTGGTTCATGCTTTGGCTACAGGAGCTGACGAATATTCAGAAATATTTAATTTTTAAAAGCAATGCAGGCCTCTACACAAGAGTAAAGACATGGGGAGACTGGCATAAAGCTGTTTGGTGCAAAGCCTTCAGCCTTCTGAGACAATTCGGGCTGCTCTGACAATGGACTTTATCCCTGGGCTGTTGGAGTTCAAGGGTTAGGATAGCATCTATGTCGTAGCCAACACGCCCATGCTGCTGCAGCTCTACCACGACTCAGAAAGCCCTTAAACTGCTCCTAGCTTGTGTCTAAAGTTTTCCGAATTCCTCAGTGCCACCGATAAGGATTTAACTTCAAAGTGTGTGATTGCTTTCTGGCATGCCTTTATAATTCGCCTATACCGCAAAATCACCGTTGGGGAGCACCCTGAGGCAAATGAGCACACACAAAGCACGAGCCTCATGCTTCTGCAATGTTCCTGCTTGTGTGCTTACAAAAATCTGATTGACTATATTAGTTTCTTACTTTGGTACTCATCTGCATGGCCCTCTTCTGATTCCCTGGTCTACACGTAGAAGCTCCTCTATGATGCAGGCCTGAAAATGGTGGGCTAGGGTTAGACACCACCATAATCGGTGAAGGGGTACTCAGCCAGTGCTTGTTGAGGTATGCGTAAATCTCAGGAAAGCTAAGTACGGAATTATGAGAAATGACGGTCGGTTGTGTGTTTCGAGCCTGTAGATTTAGTCTTGCTGGATTGGCAGGCTTTCAGAAGCGCACCGAATATGACCAGACAAAGACGCTTGCGGCAAGATGGCTAAGAGCATTGGCCTTTCTCACAAAAATCATTGCACTTTCCCACTGGATAGATTTCTCCGCAAGTTGTAGGTGGCACAAACCTACAAAGAAAATTAAAAACTTCCTGAACTAGTCTCGGAGTGTGTCGCGCGGGCACCTAACCTTTGTGGAGGCGTACTTACAAGGAGCCATAAAAGTGATGGCTCTCCGAAATAATCCCAGGGTGCATTAAAAGATTGTCTCTAATAAATGAGTCAGCAAGTCTAGCTTCAGTGGTTGCAGGCGTTGTTGCCTGCGGAAGAAATTGCGGCTGTATTTTTAACAGTGATAACCACCCAAAACGGTATTTGTCGCGTTCTTCAAAAGAAGACTTCCTCTGGTGTGTGGTAAGCCCGAGATACCTGCCTTCATCCATGGGTATTGCTTGAAAAGTCTATTGTTTTGTCTTAGCAGGAGGCTTGCAAAGCACAGCGCTCCGTCACCAGCCAGCCATCGCGCCATCCCCATCGTTTTGGTTTAGTTACGCGGTTGTTTTTGGCTTTTTTGTTCGACTTTCCTCACCTCGATTTTGCTGTAGCCGCTTGTTGCACACTTGGCTTTCCCCATTTGCGTTGTTTTAGCTTTTTGTCCTGCCTGGCGTACAAAAGGGAATGTTTCTGGAATATGGAGAGAAAGATGTAGCAGATTGAGCCGCACTTCAAACTTTCTACTCCAGGAGTAATATTTTACACGAAATTATTACGGAATGGACAAGTTAGTTCGCCTGTTTGGTCATTTTCACTGCAGAGTTGTGCTAACAAGGTGCGGCGAAATGCAATTTGGTACGGCGTGCGCGCTAGATGCTATGTGTAATTAGCTGCGAATAATCTATGTGTATGAAGGGTGCAGCTACGCCGAGCCGAACCCTCTCCCTCCCCTAAATTTGGTTTTTCTGGGGGGAGACGGCCGGGGAAGGCGGGAATTAATTCTAAAATGGTTATCAACTTTCTACTGAGTCTGCATGGGACTGTGGTCAAGTGTTTTCTCACGGAGACAGATGGAGCGTTACAACCATTGCACAATGCGAAACATACAATAGATCTTCATGCATCTCCAAAACCAAACAGCAAGCTTGCAGGATTCTTTTTCGTGTGCTTCCTCTCTGCGAGGCGTTTCGAAAGCCTGACCGATGAGCCATACTCCCAAGCACAGCAGTGACTGCATGCCCTGCAGTCGTGTTGGGTCCTCATCGTTTACTGCCTCATATGTGCATAGCTCTATTACTGCACACTTTTCTGGCTTAATACGCCCATGTTTCATTGATAGGAATTTTATTTGAATAGACAGACATCCGCTAGGCAAAATCGCTTCGAGTCTATTTGTGCAGAATTGCCGGCATCCAGGCAACCATCATGACTCCATATTTGTAAGGGGGTCTGTTTTCGCAAAAAATCCTCTCTATGTTGTGGTACGCGTCGCTTTCAGCTTTAAACGATGCATATTCTATTTTTGTAGCCTTTACCCGCGGTTCAGGCAGTTACACTCAGTGTTACACTGCCCAGACATGCGACTCGCGTCAAACGAGCTGGAAGCTTCCTGCGCAGCCCTTCGACTTCAACGCAACGTTCAAAAGCCAAAGCAGTTGGATTTTGCGTGCTTGATTTGAACCGAGCTGTAATTTCCCTCCTTTTGCTAAGTTCTTATTGAGGCTGGACTTTTCTGGACACCGCATTACACACCCTGATCTGTTTTTCCCTTTGTCCATTTGTATGCATTGAAACAATGCTCATAAAAGTCCAGAACCGCAGGTTAGACCTCAAGAAGCTCTCCAACCAGCAGAAATGGTTTGGCCCCTTCACCTTTGCTTTGCTAGCCGACCCTCAGGTGAGAGCGGCATCCTCTTTTCCCAGTGTTATGCTTTTGGTTTGCGTCCAAATAAGCTTGATTATCCTGGCTGTTTCCTAGCAAAGCCATATCTTAGTTGGGTCTAGGAGAGCGGGTACCACTTTGCCCCCGATACCAAAAGACACGGAGACGGCAACGGCAACAAGAACAAGGGAGATGGGGAGGAATAATTGTGCTCACACGTTCGCTTCTGTTGATGTGGCATCAGACGTGTTTATTTGTTCGGCTCGGAGTCTGTCATTATCACTTTGTTTCCTCTATTTTTTTGCTGTAACGTTCCTTTTCCCAGTTCATTCACCTTTCCGTGCTCTCGTTCGTTTTTTCTGCTCAGTTAGGTCTTTATCAGAACAACCATTCCTGGGGTGAGGAGCTTCAGCAGGTGTCAGAGTGCATTGCAGCTGCTGTTTCTTCTTCCCCCACGCCTGCCTTTATTGCTATCTTGGGGGACTTGGTGCACGCCCCAGTACCGGCGCAAGCCGTGCAAACTGACCCAAGCATTACTGAGGTTTGGCGTGTAAGGGTAAGCAATAATTTTTCTAGAGTACTCCTTAGAGCTCAGATTTCATGTCCACAGCTGCGTTAGATACCCTTATCACTGCTGTTTGCTATGTTGCCCAGTGTGTCCCTCCAGCATCAGTTATTTGCTCATGCTGCTACTCGTGCTCTCGCTCTTTGCTGCTGTAGCAGACGGAGAATAAGGGCGAAACCTCAGTCATGTGTACGACACGAGTTATACTGTCGTCAATATCGGAGGCAGTCGAACAGCTCCCAACATGAATTGCATTATTCACGGCACTATTTACACCAAATATTTGGCAGATAGTAAGCACATAGTAAGTATCTCAGGAGAGTCGATTTGGGCTTTGAGGAGCTGTTTTGCGTATTCCAGGACCAACAGGCACGAGACTTAGCCGACGCCATTGATGGTCCCAGCAAGGAAGTACCAGTGGTGAGGATTCCCGAGCACTCCACAGTGAATGAGCTGCAGCGATCCATTCACAAACAGGAAGTGGATAACGTTAGCAGCTTGTTGAGGGGTGAGGAAGGGAGTATAGAAGACAGGATGAGGAAGATAGGGATGGGAGACGGACAAGGAATAGAGACAACACGACCAAGGCTAAAAAAACAGCTGCGCCATTAATGAGACCAAACTGCAACAATACCAGCTTCTCTCTGGAACCCGTGTTTCTCTTTCACAATTTGCCTTTTGATTTGAGTATTTATGGTCTAAGAGCCAGGAAGCCGCGTGTTTTGTTGCTGGTGGTTTTCCGTTTTATCTGTCACCCGCACTACCTCTGAACCGTGGCAAAGATAATTAGCGCCTTTTTGCCTGTACAGGTGGAGACTGCTGTTGCTCGTTGTTAACTTCTCAGGTTGTAGCTGCCGGCAATCATGACATTGGTTCCACCCCAACTCGTGAAGCCATCGCGGATTATGAGAGTTTGTGGGGTGGGGAACAAGGCTCTTCACTGGCTTGATTTGCCTTCCAAGGCAGCTACCGTACACGCAGCTTTAGCATTGAATGAGATAGACTCTAAACGACGGGGGATTGGGCATGGATTATGATAAATACTACGTGGAGTACACCCTAAACAACACCCGAGTGCTAGTTACAGTTGTTTTTTGTTTGATATGTATGCTGACTTGAAGCCTCGTGAGAGCTCGTACCTCTCGGGTTTTTATTGCTCTGCTTCCAGGCAAAGATTACTATAGTTTTTGGTTTGGAGGCGTTAAATTTGTTGTTGCGAATTCCTCTGTATTCTACGACGATGCAGAAACTTCAAGAGAAGCTGAGGCAAGCTACCCTGGTCCTAAGACGGCTAGCTAGCCGGATAGCTGCATACGGCTAACCGCTGCCATTTCATTTGGGCACACGGGTCGTCAGCGTATTTCCTTGGGCAGGCGCAGTGTCCTACTCAATTTGGCTTGATTGAGCTCGGTCACTGGGTCCCAGAAGGGCTCTGACATCTCTGCACTGTGTGGCAGAACATAGTGTCCTTATTTCTTTCAAACTCTCCTTTATTGGCGTTGCCTTCTATCGCTATTGTTGTTGCTTATGGCGGTATAGGAGCAGTTCAGTTGGATCGCGGAGGAGTTTCAAGACGCCGTTACAAAAGGTATCAATTCCAAGTTCACAGTGCTAAAATCCCCGATCTGAGAAGGGATGACGCTAGACGTTGGCGATCTTGACCACCTAGCTCCAGAAAGTACTTACTTCTCAACTCTAAACACATCTGTTTTGGACATTGTACATTGCCATCTGCCCAGGAGCCAAACACACCTTCCTTTTGCAGCACCACCAGTTCTACTGGAAAGGGTGGAACGAGGAGGAGGAAACCACGGAAATGGTAGAGGTTCCGCAAATGAAAAAGGTACCTCTTGCACCGCCGGATTAAAAGATTGACGAGGTATTTTGTCAGCTTAGATCCTATTTTTTCCGTTTTTTGAGTTGCATGCTGTGTACTTCGTTTTAGAGCAATTCTATCAAAATCTACCGCCTTCCGGGTAAATGGAGAAGGCGTTTTCTTACTCTTTTAAAGCAGTACAAGGTAAACCAGTATCGTCCTTCTATTCTAAGCCCCCAGTGCAATTCATAGTGTACTAGCGTTGCTCAGTCTATAGGTTTGTCGGGCTCATCAGGTGGTATCTGTATGGGTTTGCCCGGTGGATCATGCTAATTAGCTGCACCCAGGTGTTTTCCCAAAGTGTCGAAAAGAGCATTTGAAGCGACTGTAATGAATTTCTGTAATAAACGGTAATTCGAAGGCTTGATTGGTTCTTCTGGCTTTTAAGAACAACAGACTGGCCTTTATGTAGTTCAGGGTTATCAGTGTTCCTACGTTATCTCTGTAGTGCGCCAGCGTTGTTAACATTTCCACTTTCTCTTCCCCTGTAGTTAAACTGCGTTTTGCGTGTGCTCTGCGAAAAACCCTTTGTACCTGTATTCGCCTAGCTTCTGCTTTGCTTAGTGCGTGGATTCGGTTGTCTGATTTTTTACTTCTCCATGAAGCCCGTTGCCCGCTTCTACAGTCATCAACATTAAACAGCCATTTGCTTTAGCTTTTCAATGCCTATTCTCTTCCCCTTGGGCGTTCCTGTTTCTTGCATCGGTGTAAGACTCCGACTCGCCCGTCTCTGCCTGTCTCTCTTGTGCTATCTCTATTCGTGTCTGTGAGCAGTTTATGTGTGCCGTTTTGATTTTCACACAAGGTGTCTGCCTCTTTCCACGGCCATCTCCATTACGACTCCCTCCTTTGTGATGAAGGGCTATCCCAGATTGTTTCTGCTTCATGTGGCTTCGCCACCAACGATTCCAGGTGACGCATCCTGTTCCCCCATACGAGAGCGATTTAAACCCAGGTCAACTTTTGTTATATATGCGGTGTATATGCATTTGATCAGTGCTAAGCCTTTCCTTTGGGGTGTAATCCGGGTCCATGTACGCGTGGCTGGTTTTGCAGGCCAGGCTGGCGCCTTGTCAAGGTATCGGAGAATAGTTTCGAGCACAAGTTCCTTCCAGTTAAATGGCGTACTGACAACTATCCGTTTAAACCACCTCGTTTCCCATGAATGTGTGTCTTTTAATCCCATTTCGTAAACCTTTAGCGGGCAGAGGTCCCGGTGGCATGCCGATTCTCCTCATTGTTTGTGCACTATATCCCAATGATATCCTGTTTACTGCAGCAAATACAGGGCCTTTATAATGTACGTTACATTTGGACGTCCATTTGAATGCAGAGACTGGAAGTCATTTAAATAACGAACTACTTATCTAAATCTTTTGCTGTCTACTGGAATGTGCCTTTCCGCCTTTTTTTGCCCATCGGGGATTCGGTCTTTATGCATTCTGTCATAAAGAAAAAGTTGCAGTGATCCTATATGGTATCGAGATGGCCAAAGCCGTAAGACTTCAGATTCTCTGTGCAATAGCGGCAGCATCACAGGTAGTAGGCACACCAGCAGCTGCTGTTGCAGTATGCATCTTACTTGCATCTGTCCCATTTCAAACTCGCATGCTCCACGCGCGCAAGTAAGTTACTGAGCACTTGTTCGTAAGTGTGCCATTACAGCAAGAGACCATGGCTCACACGAGCACAGACGTCAGCTGGGGAAGGATTAATTTCACAGCGATGCACTGGACCCATTAATTTTAAAAAGTGGATCTGCAGTGAGCTCCAGGTATTTGACTACTCTTTTGATGGTACGTAGAAGCAGCCGCAAGTCATACGTCCAGAACGTGCAATGAAGATCCAAAAAGGCCAAGCAGCGCTGTATCCAGTCTCCAGCGCTATATCCCGCACAGTGTTCGAAAGGAATGCTCTGCGGTTCCTCATTTCTGAGAATAGTACCACACGAAGCACTGGATACGTCTATGCCTCATACATACAGCACAGGGGTTTTGCACTTTAGCACGCAGATGCCTTTCGCACGCCGACAGGCATTGGACCCGGATGATGTGCTACACCTCGATAGAAGTTTGGTCAGTAGGTTGACCTGTAGGATCTGATGTGGCACTCGGAAAGAAACGCAAGCTTATGGCCATATATAGGCTGAACAGGGGTGGGACCGATAAGAGTTAACTGGACGTCATAAGCCGACCCGTGTCCATAGCTATAACACCAGCATGGCTCTGCACAACCGGCAAAGATCGGCTGGTTTTACTAAAGCTTAAAAACAGACAAGGAGAGAGCAATTGCCCAGCAGTGAGTGGAGGCCCTCATTTAGCTCAGGGTACAAAACACGCTTGCATTACTGCGTGCCATTTAATTTCTTGGCCATACGCCGTAATTTGAAGCAGTAAACTCAATATTATGTGTCGCGTCAAGTTTAGCCAATAATACGAATGGTGAAGTTTATAAAGCTCTGAAACGTGTCTTTCTTCACGAAGACTGTTGCAGCTCAGTGCAAGCCAAATACAATTGGACTTCGCTCTACCAATCTTAGTGTGCAGCATTCAAACGCTCTCCTAGGTTGCTGTAAGGGACTATTTTACAAAAAGTACAACGTGGATTGCACACGCCAACCAGAAACACTTTTCCGGTAATGGAGATATCCTACGAAGCTTAGGCCAAGGGAAAATGGTAAAGAACCCCTGTGGAGGCGCCCTGAGGGATCTTGAACAATTCTTATTTTCGTAATCAGAATGGCGAGGCATCCCGACACTTTTCGAAATAGGTGGCAGATGATATGTAAAGAATGAATCACTCATTCGAAACTTTTCTTTCCTCATAGCGTGTATACCCCAACTGCCGAAGGTTACAATTCTACCTGACTCCTAAATGCTGTCATGGAACCGGATTGGAGTAGCTACAGAGAAACAATTACCACTTGCTTAATCCATATGTAGGTGGTATCAGGTTGCAAGCTTGTTGTTTGGTTTTGCCGCCTTTATAGTCTGTTTGTTGTGAAGAAATGTTAGTGTTCAGCTATGAAAACACATGTCGTGTGCCTTGTACTGAGCTAATGCGAGACCCTATGTGGGAAGGCTCCGAATGTTTCGATGGCAGCTGTTTGCGCCTCGCAGTGAGCTTAATCTGGTCTGCACGGTGAGATTCGTGATTATCGACCCAAATCGAAATTGAAGAAAAGACATAAATTACCTTCAACAAATAGGTCTCGCAGCTCTTTATTTTATCTACAGAATTTTGATCGCAGGTGCAATTGGCACTGATGATCCCGCGTATACACTAGCCTATCAAGGGGTATTTAGACTAGCGAATGGCGTAGAAGGCCAAGCTACACATGGACACTGCCTCATTAACAAATTACGACAAATTAAGGCATCGTGAGGTATCGAATACCAGAATCGGCTGCCTTTATGGCGTAACTGTCTCAGTGTAGAGTTGTCTGCTGATTCAGGGATACCTGGCGTGCACCTGTGCCCTAGTTTCCACGGTGCAATGATACGTGAATGCGCACAATGCTCAGAACTGTCTCTACCCTCCTCCATCATCCATGTCATGGAATTGGGAAAGCTTAGGGGAAACCTACGTGAGGACTTTTTCCGAATTTTGTTGCGGTTTGCAAGCTAGGGGTTTCCCACTCGAGCCCGTAGGATGTGCGGTACAGCAGGAATATTACATCACGATTATAACCCTTGACCTCACCAAGCAGATCGAAGTATCTTTTGAATGTTTTGTGTCACCGTAAGTACGCATTGTTAGCATACTATGTGCAAAACTCTAGCTGGGTATGCTACACTCCTGCGGTCTTGCCTGACCGATAGCCAAGAAAAATCGGAATTAAGCATAAAGAGTGAATAATCTGCTTTCCATACGATGCCGGAATTTCGGAACAGGCTTTGAGTGAGCATTTCGGTTCGGAGTCCTAATCTAAGGCGTCCACGAAGAACGTTGCCACTGCGCTAGTATAGCGATGAAGTGTGACTACTGAAGTGAAGATTACGCTGTTGAAAAAAAAATGAAGTAGAATGGAAACGTAGAGGCTTACTGGTGGCAGAAAAGAGCTGTTAGGAATTTTTGTTTCTGCTTTTGCTGTGCGTGCCCAGTATTTACGAAACCGGTAGAACATGCGTTGATGTGGGCTATTTTCACCGACACTGGTGGAACTACCAGTTTTCGCCTCTTAAACATACATAAAGTTTTGTAGGTATATTACGACAGCTTTTAATATAGAAACAATGGTTATATGATAAAATTATTGTTTGTAGCCTGCTTTCCCGCCATGCCAGCCAAAGCTTCATCACTGGTCTCTCTGAAGACCAGGGAAGGAAAACGGCACACAAACGCGAGGCGCCGGCTTTGCTTTCTTTACCGGGGCTAACTAAAGGGATAGCTGCGTTAACTTGGAAAGAAGGAAGTAGATTGTGGGCAGCTGAAGCGAAGAGGAGCATCTATTAGTGATGTTTTTGTTTTCGCGTTTGCACTACAGGTGTACGAGCAGCTCACGTTGCCCATGCAGCTGACCCTTCCTTACTTCGCTGTTTCGTCCTTTACTTTCCTCGCGCTGGCCCTGTTATCCAAAAAGTGGCTTTTTAGGTAGCCTGCGGTCTCTTTTCTCACGTTCGCTCTCATTCTCCCAGCTGTATTCATACCCCAGCTGCTGAAACGGCTCACCATTGGCTCCGCCCCACCTTGCATCGATTTATATCCTTTCTGCGCTTCCATTTCCTCCATAGCTTATAATTTCTAGTATAGTCGCTTTTTCAAGTGGGAATTTATTTGCGTTTTTTCCTCGTGCGTCTCCCTTCATCTCCTCCCCAGCTAGCTCTCCCGCCATCTCCCCCTGGATGCAAGGGCTCCAATGCTATATTTTACCCGTAAAACCCCCCAAGTCCCGGAGAGTCACGCCATTCATTAGGAAGAGACTGCCTTTTCCTTTTCGACGGACTGGATTTCCAGGTATCCCACCACACTGCCTTAGCATTACCAGCCCCACCAACTTTGTTCAAGGACTGCCTTCTACAGGTTTTCTTAATTTTAGTCTTCAATCCTGGACTGTCTGTGCATACTTGCTTCAACTTTCGTATTGCAACGAGGCAACAGTAGCCCGGAGGTCTCACAGAACCCCCAATTTTTGTGCATCGATGGCACGTGTAAAGCCTCGTCAGTATTGTTGTGGTGTATATGATCTTATCCTTTGGGTATTTGTGCTTACTTGTTTCTATTTTTGTTACATTACTCTCTGTACACTTGTTCAGATCGGTTCCTGCATGCAGTCTTCTTTGTCCTGCCGGCAGAGAGGCATCGCCCCTAGGAAACAAGGCTTCAGGGACACAGCTGGAAGGTGAAAGAGGATGTGGCCGCACTGTGGCCGGCGTTTGCTGGTGGTGAGCTCTGTAGGACTGCTGTTCGCAGCTACGGCTAAGGGAGCACCAGCAGAGGCATCCAAGTTAGGAGGTCCTGAGGCGTCGGCTGTTTTATCTCCGCTTTCTGCCGTTGAGCTGCATTCAAGGGCTCAAGATGACGTATTCGACGATCCTCTAGATGAAGAGGAACTGAGAGAGGAGGAGGCATGTGGGGGACAAGAGGCTATGTCCAACGTAATGACTTCTGAGCTCGAGAAGCTCAGGGACCCAACGTCTCCCTGGGCGAAGTTCCTCAGCAAGTTGACTGCGATCAAAGACGCCAAACAAGTGTGCACACAATCTCAGACGAGCGAGGGCTTGTGTAGCCTGCCTGAAGCCCCAGAGGGCGGCTCTTCTACTGCCCTCCAGCTGCCTTGCGGGGGTGATGACTACATGAAGCTCATCAGCAATTATGTGCGCACAAAGAACTGTATCCTCTCGCTTGCAGTAACTCAGACTCTTACTCAGAATTGGCTGGGTCATGCTGGAAGTGACGGGATTTTCCCCCAATTAATAGCAAAGTATGAAAAGGCTCTCGAGTATGCCAGTCTCGATTCTGAGCTTTACAGTCTCTACCAGGACTCAGCTCAGTTGTTAAGGGAGGTCATCCAGAGCGCCAAGGACGGTATTGCTGCCTTTCATTCTCCGGAGCTGAAGGCGGTTTTTTTGAAGAGGAGGAAGGAGCTCACCGCACTACTCTGTGCTCTGGGGCGCGGAGCAGAGGCGGATACAGGGGCGAATGTTGTTGTATCTGATCATATGGTGGTCATCCGCGGCAACTTTGAAGAAAGTGAGGAAGAAGCTCTTACCGCATTCCAAAGCGCTGTGGACACGTTCGGGCTGTATGTCCAGGCCCTTTTGGAAGACGGAGGCTTCCTGCAGAGAGCTACAGATATTCATGTGACCCTTCACAAATTCCGCCTTTCAAAGCTCAGCGCTATGCTTACCGATATAGAGCCAAGCACCAACGAAGGCGATGATGCTCTTTCCCTTATGCGTATCATTCCGGGCAAGCACAACAAACAGAGCAAACACAAGACCAAAGAGGTCTCCAATAAGACGCAAGACGCCGCTGCACCTGCCTTCTTGGAATCCGCTGCCCAACAAGGCGCTGTTGCAGCCGCTGCCGCTGTAGCAGCAGCAAATCTGGCCACGCCCGCTACAGCACCTCAGCAGCAGCAGGCTCTGGTAGGTGGAACAGCCACAACCGTTCCTGCAGCTGCCCCTGATACTATGTCTTTGTTGGGGCCGTCATCGCCTGCAGCACAAACTTTTCTCGCTGGCGAGCAGCAAGCTCCAGCACAAGGAGGAGCACAGACTTGGGCACCAGCACCCTTACCAGCAGCACCAGCAACCTTACCAGCAGCACCAGCAACCTTACCAGCACCACCAGCATCAGCACCAGCAGCATCAGCACCCTTACCAGCATCAGCACCACCAGCACCACTAGCATTACCACCACAGGCAGCACCGGCACCACAGGCAGCACCAGCACCACAGGCAGCACCAGCACCACAGGCAGCACCAGCACCACAGGCAGCACTATTAGCATCACCACCGGTAGACCCCGCAGCGTCACAACCGACAGCACCATCAGCAGCAGCAGCTCCAGCAGCTCCAGCGGCAGACACTGCAGGACAATCGCAGTCGGCTGCTTTAGAGGCGGCCCCGGCACCGACTTCTCCATCTGGCAATCCACCACCCCATGCTGAAAAGGGCGACCATGCAGGTCACCCTCCGGCCCATGGTATTGTCGATGGAGAGCACAAGGGTGTGCCTATACGGCAAAAGACAATAACAATGGCAGCACATCTGAGGATGTTTGAGATGCACGGAGAAGAATTAGGTTACACTGCAGACGTGTCGGCGCTGTCGAAGACCATTAAAGCAGGATACACGGACATCACGTAGGGCAGCCTCAACGCTTGCCTCGATGCATCAAATGGATCTCTACTCATGTATATTCCGTCTCTACGTGTTGCATGTTGGTGTATGCCACTTTGCTGCTGAGTCGGGGCTCTGAGCTGGTTCGTGGTATTCTTCAATGTGGTGGCTCTTCCTGTTGGCGCTGCTGGTTGTGCTGGGTCGCTCTACTTTTTTGCTAGATGGCGTTGTCGCAAACGTGCGCCGCTAGTTTTTTAGCCAATGCAGGGAATTGGGGTACGAATGGTATATACCTCTTGCCCCCGTGTGGCTCGGTGGTGCTTCTTCTCTGGTATGCATCTCGCTGGTATGTGTACCCCATGCGCCTGTGTGTGCCTTGTGTTGCTCCGTTTGTCATTTGAACCACACACAACGCGGAACAGGCACAGAAGGCATGCCTTCACCTCTTTGATTGCATCTGTTCGTGTGTGTGTGTGCGTATGTCACAGGGACAAGATATTCGTAGTGTGGGCCCAGTTTCTTCCACAGGCATTCGTATCAACAACTTTCAAGTTCTTGTCTCTGCTGCTTCCGAACCCCGTTGTCGACATTGCTGAGTTTTACAACAGCACTATGGCGGAGGACGGGTCTGTTACCGAAGGATTCACAGGGGACCTGGTAAGACGGGGGAGAGCGGTAGAGCCAGGCAGTAACACAAACGAAGAGAGGCAGAGAGTGGAGCACGGGAGGGAGGGGGCGGAAGACCACAGGAGGGGATGAAAAGAAGGGAGATTAAAGGAAACAGCGAATGGGGACAGGCAGGAGAAAGGAATATGGGAAACCAGAACGGGAGACGCAGGATGCATGAAATGGTAGGAGAGGGCGGGGGCAGCAGCTTGATGTAGGACGGAATCGGCGATAAGAATGGGGGACCTGATGACGAGCATTTAGGGCTCATGGAGGCAATGTTAAACTCTGACCGAGCAACTATGCCTATGAATAGCACTGCATACTGTATCGTCCGTGCGTTTTCAGCCAGTGAACCACAAATTGTTAGCAGAGCGTTTCTCTGTGGCCGTTGACGAAGCGTATAAGGACTCATGGAGACGCTTCTTTGAAGTAGCAGACGATCTTGGTGTTGACAACGACCAATCAGGATCCGTCGCTCAACAAGCACCTCCCGTCAGTGCCTTGCAGGTGGTGCGCAGTAGGACTGTGGCCTTGGGGTACACAGGGGGGGAAGGGGAAATGACTTTCAGTTTGCTGGTCCATTTGGGCTCTATGTATCTGCGAATTAGTAGATTTTTTCCTTCTTTTCTTTGATTGCCATCTATCACTGTAGGAGGTCGGAGCTGTGAAGCCACATTCTTTCGTTTCTACTGAAGAGAACGATGATTTCAGCGTGGCGATTGTGTCCTCTTCTGATGGAATAACTCCGACTGATTTGGACAAATACATCGACAGCGAGGCTATCGATAAGGCTAGCGTTGAGGCGCTTGTAAGGGCTATGGGGACTTTCGGGGTATTGGGGTGGAGTTTAGGGTCGTGCGTCCGCCTTCCAGAGTGCTTAGGAGCGGGGATTTTTGTGGTGGACCGCCTGGTTTTGTAAGTTCTGCATCTGCTTGTTCTAGACGTGCTTGTTTTCAGGCATCCGGAGGGTTTGAATCAAGACCTAATGCGATGATTACACTTGGGGCTACATTGGTTTGCGCTGCCGTGGCGCTTTTTCTCTGAGGGCCTTGGAGGCACTTGTGCGAGGTCTTCTTCCTGGGAAGTACGAATAAAATACAGCGATCTGACCTAGTAAACACACATCTATTAAACATCTATATTTGTCTATCCGAATCTAGTCTTTTACGGACGTGTATGCACCGGTATATATGTGCATGTTTGAGGGATGGCGTGCGTCCCTCATGGAGACGTGCACCCATCACCTATGCATAATCTACTCATGCATAAACATGCGCGTGTTATGAGATGCACACAAAAGACATACCTGTTAGAACACTTATTTCTGTCGATCATGGTAAATACATGTGAACGACCTAGGTACATATATATATATATATATATATATATATATATATATATATATATATATATATATATGGGTCGCGGGAAAAGAAAAGAAGCTGGCAGGCATACGGTTTCTCATCTAGCAGTGCTTAGATCCCACAAAGGGCCAGCAGTAAAACAACAACTACCGCAGCCGATGTCTCGCACAGGTGGGGGCCCGCAAGGGCGACCCCTGCGCATTCTGTCTTTCTCCGCCTCTGCCGCCACAAAGGCTGTAATGGTTGCACATGCAGATGTATAATACATTTTGTATCGTTACAGCATACGCCTTGTTGAGTTTACGACACGCGATGTACGATGAAGTATTAACATATCCCGCACTATATGCTATTTCCACGTGCGTCGTATGTCACCTCAATACACTGTATATACCTTATATACCACCTCGGTGTACATGCCGTACTTCAGTTTCCTCAACAGCGACGTCATGGGGTAGGCGGTCTATTATTTCTGCGTGCGCTTAAACGGTCATCCTTCTTAACCGGTGGGCAACCTCTTCAGCCGAGCCCCCAAGGGCCCTCCCATGTGGGACCCCAAGAGGCGCCCGCCCGTTGCCAATGGACGTCACTGGGGGCCTACTTTAAGTGCTTTAAGGATCTCAGGGGTCCTTGGGGCGGTATGAGGAGTCCTTTACTGTGGAAGCCTTGTGGACCCCCAGCGGGGTTCAGGGGAAGCCAAAAGTGCCCCTGCTGGTTTCCCAGTGGGTAACCCCTACACCTCTCGCCTCTTTTATGTTGTCTATCTTGTTGGTCCTTATGCAATGGGATGCTGCGTCTACATGCGACACACACTAACACCCATAGTAACAGCAGTAGCGGGCAAGTATTTTCTGGGAAAAGCTTAAATGAGGGCTCAACACACCCTGCATTCCCTGATGCACTTTGCTATAGACGGCATGCTGCATTACAAATGCCGCTAGCTTGGTCACGGGTGTAATATAATTCTCAGTGCAACGGGTCCCTTCAGTCGCCAAGGTCTCGATGAAGAACTGGGTTTGTGGAATGCCGCTTTACGGCTCAATTGGAGTTGCATCGCTACAACTGCGCGGCGCTGATATAGCTAGGCTTTGGAAGTGGGTATGAGCGTGTCGGGTAGAGAACTGAAGTCTTACAACTCTGTGATGTCCTGGATGCGTGATGGGCAACGGGAGGCTCGGGAGAATGCAACTGGTGCTCTACGAAACTGGGGCGCAAAAAGCATCGAGCTGGACTCATAGCACCGGTGTTTCGGGCTTACCACCTTCCTGCACAAGCGTAACGGGCATTCCCCGTTCCCGTGTGGCATTTAGTGCACAACCAGCTGTTTTGCTGAGAGCTGAGCTGCAGCCGGTTGTCAGGATGTTGCATTTTTGGTTGCTGTCAACAAAGGTGGTCACCTCGCTGTGGCCAGCAGCAGCCATTCCAGGTTCTGGTTTTGAAAATCTAATGGTTTGAGAGTGCATATCTCATTAGTCACCTGTCGGGCTCAGTCTGCCGCTCTGTCTCACTTCATTCAGATCTTTACTCTTTTCGGCTTGAAACTGTGACCCCTCTACCGTATTGTTCTTCTCACCTCGCTCTTACCCCGCAATGCACTGCTCTCTGCCTTTGTGTCTTTCCATATCCCTATGCCCCACCCTACTACCTCTTCGACCACAGCATCACTCAAGAGAAGAAGCCTGTGCACGCTTCCTCTCCCCCCAAACCGTAAAACTGCGTCGAGAGTTCCTTCTTCCTTCCTTCTCCCCCTCCGATCCTCTCTCATTCCTTCCCACGGCGTTACATACAGCAGCTAGAGGAAAATAAATCCATCAGGAGACGGTAGAAAAAAAGTTCGAGCATGCTGAAGTCATGAGGAACTGCAGCAACTGAATCAGAGAGGTCCTGGAGCGACACAAACCCACAGAGTACCCCGCATCTCAAGAGAAGGGGAGCCCTTCCGCCTCTCTTCTGGGGACCCCAGCACCCTGACTGCAGCAAAAGGGTTCAGCCATTCTTCAATGACTAGGACCTCCCCGGCAACAAACTCGGATGCCTCTCCCATCCCAAAAAAACCCTGGCTTCCTTGGGGACCCTTTGAGGGGTCCTCCGTTGTTGCTGCTGTTTCGCCCTGTAGCCTGTGTGCGTTATGGACATCGGACTTCTCTAATGCTGATTTTGGTCCGCCTGCGGGGCCAAGAATAGGTCTAGTAAAGACGCTGATACTTTTAAAGCCTTGCGTATTTATTCTGCTCGTAGCAAGACGCTTAAGGGTAGCAGAGAGTTCGCCTGTTGACTTTTGGGTCACGAACATTCGGTGAACAACAGCTAGACTCGTACAGTCACACCAATTCTCGTCTTCTCTGATACTGTCTTTTCTTCCTCCGTCGTCCCTCCCGCATTTTTTAGCCTGAGTTGCTGTCACTGGGTGCACTGCTTTTGTCTGAGTTGCATCCGCTGCTATGTCGTTGACATGCGGTACCTCTGCTTGCAGAGGCGCTTTGCTGTTCGTTGACTGTTGCGGCGTGCCAGTTGGTTTTTCTGTTGCTTCCTTCTTGAGGGAAGTTCGCGCAGCCTCGAACAGATGGCTTCGGGTAGCCCAGCCGACGGTAAATCCGCACAGAGGAGGGAAAATATACCTGAGCGCTCCCATGGCGCATTGGGGGCCCTCGAACGAAGACAACGCACACCCGCGACACGGGGAAAAGGCATTAAGAGTAGCAGGAATGGCTACAATGGACAGAGATTAAACAGAATATAAGGGGCTTACCATTCCAGTCTTTTTCTTGCTATTTGTCTTTCTTTGTGTACTCAGGGCCCCCAAGGTTCGGGGTCTTGAGGGGCCCTACGCAGAGACACGTAAATATTCATATTTAGCATTCGTGCCGTGTTTTTACCCATACACATGTACATCTTCCGAATTTTAAAGTGAATCTTCCGATCGTATCTCTTTGGGACTTTAATGAGAGGTTTTGTAGTTCTTTGTGCTGCTCTTTTCTCGATGCAAGGGTCGTTCTGCATTGCCTTACTTCCCAAGCAACGCTCTCAGGACCTTCCCTTCATAAATACCCTTTCACGCCAGGTGCACTCCCTTCAATTTAAGGCTTTGCCAAGTCCCTCCCATTTTCGTTCGGCGGCTTTACCCCCTTCTTCCTGTCCTTCATCTTCTCTCGTACACCGACGGAAGGAGCCTTTTCGGTTTCCAGAAAGTCCCCGGAACAAACCTACTACCGCTTCCGCGAGTCCTGATGGGCCGTCGTGCGGTCAAACCGAACACAACATGCCTCCTACCGCTCCACTCTTAGTCCATAGTGCTCCCAAACCCTTATCATCTTCGGGAATTCTGCCTGTTGTTGCCGTTGGTGGCCGATGGTGTCTTCTTCTGTATAATGCAACGGGTGGGAGTAAAGCGAATGTGCTGACAGATTTTGGGGGGAAGAGGGAATACGTTGAGCCTTCGGGTCATCTGGCACCTCCGCCCCCTCCCTCTGGCATTAGGAGCCCTACCCAAACCCTCGAGACCCCTACTGCCTGCGCTGCAAGAGAGCTGTATGAAGAGACAGGCGGATTGTGGGGGTTAGGTGCCCTCGTTTCTCCGCCAATCGGGCCTAGGCCTAGGGCCCCTGTCCCGGTCCAGTCCATCGATCCGAGGAGCAAAAGGAATAAGAAAAAGAATAAGGCTAGAGAGCAAGGGCAGTGTAGCAACGAGAAACAGATACAGCAGCATAAGTATGAAGAATCAAGCGTCCAGCAACGCACACAAAAGGAAAGGGATGTAGAGGCACTGCTAGAAAGCCTCTCGCTTGAATGTTCCTCGGAGTCCTGCGGACCTACTGTGACCTCTGGGGCCCAGAGAGGCTCCCCTACTAGAATCGAGGATCCACTGAAGGATATACTCGATGCATGCAAAGAAGTGAGAAACTTAGGTGGCACATCTGCATATGGTGCTCTATGGGGAGCCCTAGTTTACCCCATTGGTCCATCACTGCGCGACTGTCTCACAGGCCTTTCAGGATCCGTCGTGTGTCCGTGCCTTGCTACTTTTTCAGCCTACCTCAATGGCTGAGTGCTGACAGTACAAAGATGTATGCACCCATGGCTTTTAAGGGTGGTGCGGTCGCGTCATTGCGCATGACTTGCGGTATGCTGCTAAGGGTTGAAAGTTTGCGGTTTTGGGGGCTGGTGATTTGTGGTTAACTTGCAGTTCGGAACGCTCGAAAGGGATCGATATTCGTGCACTCTGCGTCATTTGTCCTTCATCCCATCTTCTCTTTTTTTAAACTTAAGAGGGGAAGAAGGTGAAGGAGCAGAGAGAAACAGGCGCTTCTTCTTGATGCATCTCGGCTGCTCCGAAAGCAACCAAAGGCAGCCCCCCGAGCTACCTCTGTTCCATATTCGACTCCGCACAAGGAACAGAGCGGCTCTTTTTCAGAAAATAATCCAAACGCCAGTGATGGGGACCTCCGGGGAGGGCTTAGCACTTCAATCCATGTGCATAGCCAATGAATCCTGTATTCCATTGCCCATTAGGGATACTGCGGATGGGGGCCCCCATCAGGTAGCTCTCACGAAGACGTTGGAGGAAGATCCCAGCGACGCACGAGGGATAGAGCCTTCATCACCTGGAGGCCCCTGTAGAAGGGCTCAAAATGGGACACCGCATAAAACCTTAGCTAGGGGCCCTACTGGTGAATCTGTGGAACCTCCCACGAACTTGCTGGATGTGTTGTTGCCGTCTCGAAGCTTCATTTTGCATTCAGCTTCTGCGCTGAGGAAGTACCTAAGAGAGCACACCAGAGGCCTAATGTCACGCTGCGGGGGATATAAGAAAGACTTTGTAAACCCCGCGCAGTCCTTTGGATTCGTTGGAGAGGAGGCTGCAGTAGGGGCCCTGTTGAAGAGCTCTTTATGGTGACACAGATTAGCCCTAGACAACTTGTGCTGAATATTCGTGCTCTTCTCTTTGAATGTGTCCTCTCTGGCTCTTGCCTGTCGTTGCATGCCTCTAGGAAGAAAAATTATGACGCAGATGCTTCCTGTGTAGTCAGTCTTTCATCACTTTTCGTAGCATTCAAAAAAAAATGAATGGTTAAACAGCTTATTGAGCACCTCTCCTTCTGCTTATGTCTTTCATTCCCGTCTTCCGTGTCCACCAGGCAGGAGAGTCGATGCGTTGCCCTCATTGCCTGTCCAGCATCCCATCAGATTCTCACCAATTCCAAGCAGACAGGGAAAACTGTATTCATAGCTCAGCCTCACAAGGCATCCCAAGAGGAATCAGCTCGCGGAGGGCCCCCAGGTACAGTGCTTTCCGATGGTGCGAATTACAACAATGCTTGCGGGATAAGGCAGCGAATTGCGCGGAAGCCGCTTGACCGTACAGCTTTAGGATTAGTCTCATTCCCTGTCACACCGTGTTTGCCCGAGTCTCGCAGCTTTTCTGGCATCCGTCCTCTGTGCGTCTATGCTCAAGCCTCATGTGTTCCTTGCGTGCTTTTGTACGTGTGTTCAATTTTCTTGTACACGTATGCGTTTGTTCTCCCCATGTGCTGCTTAGTCGACTTAATCGTGATGGGCGCTGGATGCGCTAGTCCTTTTGGGATATTAGTGGAGCCGGGTAAGCCATAGGAAAAAATCTCAGTTAGCCGTTTCTCTCTGCCAGCGATTTTTTCTTCTTTACTACTGTGGGTTGTGTGCCTGTTTCTTGCTTTCATACATGTAAGGCTCTGCCATTGCCTATATTCCGATACGAAGCGACGCTACCGTAGAAACTCGTGTTCGCTGTTGTTCGCACTCGCAATTTCGTTAGAGCTGCGTGTCAGTCGGCCCAACGGTCACTCGTGTGTAGGTCTTTCATGCACAACCTACATCCAATTATTCCCTCAACATTTGCTTTTCGGTTTTGTCATTTTGCTTAGACGAAGAAGCCGCCAACACTCTCAGCCAATGTATTATGGATGCCAAAAGTACCTTCAAATAATAAATACACTTATCTATGTAAAGGGGTGCATGGGGTAGGAGAGAAAGAACTAGAAAAATATGAGGCAGAGGGGGCGTAGAGTCCCCTAGAACCGTCGCCCGGCTATACACATCCAGAGATTCGCATAACAACATACAGGCGTTGTCCCTGTTCTGCTTGCTCTTCTTAGAAGAAAAGAAAGTTCAGATTGCTGTTCTGGCCCACGACCTGCAGGTGAGAACTGGTGGGGTGCATGCCAACCAACGTGTAAAATTCGAGGTAGTCAAGATGTAGTCGAAAAAAAGCCAAAGGAAGGACTAGGATTCTGAGCATTTTTGTTCCCTTGGACTAGTAATGAAGTGAACTCACTACAATCTCTGGGCCATCGCTACTGTATGTAGAAACAAAACAGGATTAAAAGGAGAGTGCTTTTTTATTGCCTACGCTGTTTGGGCAGCATTCATCTTTCGTACGCTATCAGGCTTTGCCGTTGCGTTTATCAGGTGATGGAGGATCTCCGAGCGGAAAGCAAGAAAGCAGCAAAACAGGAGCAGCAACAACCGCAAGGAAATTGTCTGTTCGAGCAGCAGCAGCATAATGCACATTCATTGTCTCAGTTAGAATATTTTTCTCTGTTAGTGAATCATTTAGTCGCTCAAAGTGCTGCAGTCCGAGAACTGGGGCGGGGACCGTGGGGTGGCCAGCTGTCCATCATTATAACCCCCAGTAGAATTGTTGTTTGCGATCGAGCAGAACCAGTAGTATCTGTCAACAACGAAAACCCGGACTTTACCGACTAAACGAGCAGAAAGGATGAGGGCGCAAAAGGATGGAGGGGAGAGCTATTTTGAGCGCAGGATACGTTTATTGATTGACAAATACGTATTCACATGCCGGCATATTTGTAGTGTACAGTAATACTTATGCGCCTCGGTTTCTATATCACATACGGTATAAGGATAGAAAATTGAACAGCGGCCCAAACTGAATCACAGTAACAAACTATAACGGTGAATTATCGGAATATGTCTTCACATCCTCTGCTAGGCGCAGTTGTAGACCTGGTAAGGCCCGATGTGCAACAGTGCCCTACCTTGCAGCAACTGAACAGGATAATGTACCGGCGTGGGAAAATACAGGCGAAGGAAAGAGAAGATTAATCGGAGCAATAAAAGATTACATACACTGCCCCCCTGCTACGAATCACAGTCGTTGTGAAGGCAGATATATGGCACAAGCGAACAGCGGAGAGAAGTCCGCAGAGTGCGATAAGGCGCACAAGGAAGAAAGCGGAAGGAGGAATATGATGCAAAAAATACGAGAGGAACACGCGCGGTGGCTCTGTAGCTTGGTGCCCAGTGGTACGCAATGATGGCACATGCCACATATATACACATACAACAGCAACAAGCATTGACCGCAGAGGAATTTAGGCCCTGGGGGGACCGATATACAATAAGTTCCATTCTATCGATATACTCTACGAAATGCATATGAATGTTATTTAGCGCCTGGATTCTGGGATGAGGATTCCAAGAAAGACAAACTGGCAAGGCGCAAGCGACGCCGACTGCAAAACGCAATCACATCACAGACGACAAGCACTCAGATCGACAAACCGGATGATAGGGAGACGACAGACCTGACCTGCTGATTAAACATAAACTACAAAACAGCGGGAATCGAATGAGATGGGAACAGGAAGGAAGGAACAATAGGGAATCGCGCAACGGACAAAATGATGGCAGGCACCTAAATTTGGGGGGCAAGAATGATACAGAAGTAAAAGAAATGAGCAACACGCCAGTGGAATAGGCAAAATGGATGACAAACAGTGGATCTAAGGCAATTAAATTCAGTGTGGTGTAAATGTGTTTTTTTACTGTCCTCCTGGAGAAAGCAGTTCCATGGTTGGCGGCTCCGCTGGTACGGAAACAGGGAAGGGCTGCGTTTCTGAAATGGGTCGCAGCGAAAAAAAGAAATTAGCAATTGAGCTAGAGGAAGCGAATTCAGGAAATATTAGGGCGACGGTAATAACAGCCACAATAAGAAAAACACAGGACAAAAAGGGCGACTTGAGGCACTCGAATGACGCTAGTGGAAAAGGACTGCAGGCATCATAACAGAGTACGAGAAAGAAAGAAAGCTAGCGATAGGCCAGAAGCATCCTGAATCCTAAAGTATGAGAAACGAACAGAATGGTAGAAGGAAAAGTGGTAGTTCAAGGAGAAACTGCATACGGGAACGCTAAATTGCAATAACAAGAAGGAAGAGTACAAACAGAAGTTTAGTAGACCAACGAAAATAGCACGGAAGGCAGCACCTACCAGAGAAATCTGCGTGGAATGACTCATCTGCGCCTTCTGCGGGGCCTTCCATGTTTTCTTTCTGTGTCTCCCTAACAGGGATTGCAGGTGGCAGAGTCTCGTTCTTGGATTCCTTCTGCTCAGGGTTCGCTTTTGCTTGGGCTATGGGTGCTTCCGCTGGCAAATGGACAATTGTGCGGTGAGGGGGTCCTCTTTTAATGCCGGCAATCTTCCTGACGGCAGAAGTCGTCATAGTTGTCCTTCCATCATTGTCCATTTCCTTTAGCTGAATTGGGTGGCCACTCTCCTGAAGGATCTGCCACTTGGAGACATTATACTCCAAGTGCTTCGAAACCATGTTCCTAAGCAACAGACAAAAAGAGGCACAGCGAAAAAGCGATTCCAGGGATGGATAAAGAGAGAACCGGGTCTACGGTAGATATCAACACCGCCATAGGCATAACAACAGTCATGGGCGGGGCCAGATGCCCAGGAAGCACCACTGTGGGGAAGGTGTAACTTAGCAAAATACAGGCAGCTGGAGAAAGAGATACGCGGCAAGCCACCGTAGGATGACTGAAAGCGACAGGGAGCCTCTTGGAGGAGAGCTATGCTCACTTGACGTGAGAAAACGGTTCAATCTCCTCTATCTCCTTCAAGAGTGGCTTGACAACAAACTCTAGGAAGCCATTTTGTGACTTGGCCATGTCTGCATGCTTCTCTGGGTCACAGAGTGGAGAAATAGGTAGCCCCTATGATAAGTGAACAAACAACTCACATCAGGCGTGTGTGAACATCGAAAAAAGACCTCACTTAACGCGTCGGCAATACTAGCGCCTTTTAGAGATTCGCGATGCAATGAGAGGTTTTTTTGTACAAAGGTAAACACGTTTACTCCTCTGAAACGCTCACTACCACCCAGGCAAAAGGGCACTATTGCAACTCCCTACCCTCGACGTTTCCTCATTTCCTTGCTGGTAGAACTCTTCCACCACCCGACAAGACCACTGAAAGTGCTGAGACCATGGAACGCTAGACTGCAAAATAACCACAAAGACATCGTCCTCTACGGTTTTTAATTATAAGGTTCAATGTAGCTTTGCGAGAAGCAAGGGGTAAAGCTCGTTGCTTAGCACTGATCTACAGCTACTTATTGGTAATACAACCAAAGGCTTGCGCTCTTGCCTATGATTCCCTTCCCGTCACCTTATTAATGTCATGAAAGACGATGCAAATATCGCAGTACACGAGGAAGTAAAATTGCCATATTATGATATAAAATTTCACAAAAGGGCTCATTATAGTGGGGATAAAGGGTAAACGCTTCTTCGTGTATTTCAGTTTAGAACCTAAATTTGCCTACGTGGCCGATATCCGCAACCTTCACGCACATCCGCGCAACCAACCTAAAAGCACACAAGGTTGTTGCCCAGCAAACGCAAATAAACATGCACCTTTAGTGGAGATAATGAACATTTTACACGCTAACAGATAATATGCAGCGCCCCAAGGGAATAGCACGAAGAATACGAAGCCCGAGAAAAAAATGTATATCTATACAATCAAACCAACGAATACGAAGAAGGCCACAAAAATATATTGTTTAGGAATGGTTAAGTTTCTGACCATCGATCTTCTGTTTTTTTCGAGTAGCTGAATTCCGGTGAATTCCGCCGAACCTGCAAACGTAAAGCAAATAACAAAAGAACACACGAGTTGAATTCATCAAGATGTGAAAAGCAAAAGCGGCTCCTTAAACACATGGCGAAATTTTGAGAAATAAACGGAAAACCACGGAGTTGAAATGTTCAGGAGAATGGCCATGAGGAAAGACGAGAATAAGACAACACGAGCAAGGGGGATTCCCCCGTTAATAAAAGGAGAAAAAGAAAAACGGTAACTCAACATTTTACACAAATGAAGATCCATTGTCGAAAACAATAAGAATAGAGACACCTTTTCCGCGTAGACGGCATGCTCAACAAACAAAAGAGATAGTATACCTTGATTAGCCTCTACTTGCCATGCTACAGGCAAACGTGTGATAGATAGGGAAAATCAAGTTGAATTTACCCTGAAACGAGAAATGCTCTCGAAATGCTGCTTCATATCCGTTGCTAAGATGCAGGCAATCAGGTTCTGGCGAATGAACCGAAACTCCTACAGCACAGACGTGTGGTAGCAAGTGACAGTGCGTTGAACTCACTTGAACTAGGGAAAACGCATTAGCAAGACAGTGAAATACGTCCATAAGGCACACGATGACGAGACTTTGAAAAACCATTCGATAACATACGAGTGCAAGGATCCACAAAGCAGAAGGAGCTGACAGTAAACATTAGCCAAGACAAGATATGGAGCACAATTTCAAATGGTGTCCCTGTCTGCAGGTGCTCAAATTTTTAGAATACCTCATAGATGACCCAAAAATAGTAGTATAGTTAGGCTAGTATACTGCAAATGCAAATGGGTCTCACAGAGTCTTCAAGGTTTGCAAAAATATTACAGTCCTTCATCTCCAGAGTTCTAAAGGTGAGACACGAATGAAAGTTTTCGAGGACCGCCTGGTCGTTGTAGATGACCGCCTACGTGGTAAAGTAGAAACCACAGCGTATCAGATATTGCATGCACTAGAATTACAAAATTATGCGGGGCTCAGATGATTATGTAAATTAAAGAAAACGAAATATCGCAAAGGGATAAGTCCAGAATTTCAGCAAACAAAGATGTAACAGTTAAGGTCTCTAGAAGAGGAAATCACGGCTTTAAATGATCACAGGCTTTAAGTGACTACAAATGCACTGCAAGCCCCCAGAACAAGAACTCCAAGCTTATGCCTGATTAGAAGACGAGGAAACGATTTTCTAGCGATGAAAATCCTAACATTTAGAAATCAAATCCAAGGTTACAGCCAAGATTCAGGGTTAGCGCTCACGAGGGGGTCGTAGCAGTTGATGAAGAACTGGTTGTTTCTTCCTGGATGGCCAACATCGTGACAAATGGCGGCAACAGTGAGTGTTACCTTGTCGGTCGAATTCATCCTAATAAAAACGCAAACGTCAATCAAAAATTAGCTCAATAACCCATCTTCAAACCACATGTCCCTCAAAATCACATACATCTGACCCATTGGAAACAGAACAAGGATCCTCTCAACAAGAAAATACAAGGAAATGTTAGAAAAGATCACAGTTCACTACAGCAGAGCACATGATCTCCGAAGACTGCCCTCTTTCTTGGTGACTTCAATAAGCACTACTGGGCAATTCCTGTCAATCTATCTCTCGTCTGCTAAGTCGGCTTTCACCCAATGCTGTGTCCAGACTGCCGTTCTTACGTTCGCTGTGCGTTTAGCATTCGTGTGAGGCATTCGGTAAGGTGAGCCACCGTGGCCCCATGCAGTTTGTTGTGGTAGGGGTTAGGGAGATACTGCCCTTGAATGGCAACCAGAAAGCGGATAAGCCTTGAGTCTTCGCAGCCCCAGTCACCGACAAGCCGACAAAGAAGAGCATAACCAACTTCCAACAACACATTCTCAGTCATGTAGGAGAAGGCGATCATGTCGTAATCCCAATCGATCCCAACGCACGCAAGGAGCTGGTTGGTGTGTTCAGGAACGGGCATATCTTTGAAAAGAAGACTCATGTCATCAACTTGGCCACTTATTAACGAATTCTTTAGAGATTGAGAAAACTCCAGCCCTACAAATAGGTAAAACAAAAGCAGAAGCCAAAAAACCGCGCGGAAAAAAAATTAAGGATTACTACCGAAGCAGGCGGGCAGTCATAGAGGAGTAATGTAAAGGCGATCAAGCGAATAACAAACGCCTTCCCGAAGCAAAACCATACTGTAATCGACCCTCACCACTAACTGGACCTGAGGTAGAGACAGAGAGTCCAAACCCAGAAGCTTCTGTTGTCCTTCCTGCATCATGCATTCTTCCTGCTGTTACTTGTCTGACGACAGACCGGCTGCCATTTGTGGCCATGCCACCGGACTTCGAAAGTGCTGCATTGCTCTTCCGCAGTTTGTCTGGAGTGTTGTATAGCTCGATGAACTGGCGTTGCACATCCTACGCATCACAGAAGCACGGAAAAACATGGCTATTGTAGAGAATGCCAACTGCAATAGACGCGGGAGTCCATACTACTTTGTGGCCGTAGAAGAAAAAGTAACGAGCCAGAGGAACCGCAGCAACCAATACGGCAAGGAAGATGAAGCAAGATGACGATGGAAAGCAGCTTAATGGAGATTACGCCAGCGCGAAGCTACGAAAACAATATGCAGAAGAGTATAAGGTCCAGAGAGAATAAATACTGTGCACCTAACGAGATGCACCAGGAAAGAAACGGAAACAATACGGACAGCGAAAATATTTATCATGAGGAATCTACTGCATTACAAAGCTCGTACCTCAAGTAAGTAGTAACCGAACAGACCTCAACCAACCAGTGCTCTAATTGTAAAAGAAAAGACAAACAATACGATCTGAAAAGCTTACATTTTCTTTGGCAGCGTCAGTGAAGCGGACAGAATACAAATTCCCAGAGGCAGTCAACATTTCTAGGATTCTGTACACGGGAGACAACAAATGCATTTCTTCACAAGGTAGGGTAGGTAAATAGCCCTCGCTCCAATGGCTTATGCTACAATATGCTGCGTTCTACAAGAAAAAAGACACTACCTCCCTGTTGTTCATCCTTCGGTGTAAAACATTTATCCTATTGAGTCTAATATAGAAACAAAACTGCTGAGTAACCAGGAACGGTAAATGCGGGGTACAGGTGTTAGTATTCTTACTTATCAAGGAGCTGTTCAATGTTAAACAGATCATCCGTCACATCAGCCCGAGGGCCTCGGAGTCTTGCCATCCTAACAATGTTGTTGCACTGCATCGATACAAGAGAAGTAAAGAAGGATGAAGGCAATGGATCAAAGAAGGTGAGCAGTATTACAGGAGACAAGGAAAAGATGCTATCCAAATGTGGTACTGTCGGACTCTCCCCACAAAACAGGTCAGGATTAACAAAATACGACATGGCATGGAAATCGCCACAAAAGCGTAGATGAAAGGATACAATGCATGGGGAAACCTGGCAGGAATGATGCTGCTTGCAGTTCCGGATCTGTGTACATGCAACTTTTACCAAGAGAAAGGGGAGATGCAAACTCTGCCTGCTGTCGACCCTCTTTCTACCAGCCTCCGTTTGTGTCACGCTGTGTTTTAGCGTCACACAATAGGATGAAACATCAAGCAAGCAGGTCAGCCGCCGCTACAGGAAGCATCTTTGGTACCTCCTTGACTTGGAAAATTAACTCCTCAATGGCAGTGGAAGACTTCTTCGCCTCCTTTTGGTTTTCCATCTTCTTGTGTAAATCCTGAAGCATGGTGGTGGTGAGCTGAAAGTACAAGAAAGCGCTGAGGCAAATAATTGTGAAGGCGATGCGAGCAGAGATTAATCAAAAACGCAGCATTCACCGAAGCACTTATGTTTGCGAGATAACCACAGCCTCATAGGTATACGCCATTGCAGGAAGTACAAGAAATACTAGAGAAAACATGTGAAAGCAGCAAAGAAATGAACGACAGCAGGATACTAAAAAAAAGCGCGACAAAGACGGAGAGGGCCTGAGGGATCATTGCACATAGAGATACCAGCATACGGAGACAGACAAGCGGGGAGGGCCCTACCCGCCAGGAGCAAAAGATTAGACGATGCTGGAATTCTTGAGCGTAGCGACCGCACCATCCAGCAAACGCCACAAAGAGGAAGGAGAAGACATAAATTAGCCTGCAGCAGGTCACAGCAGGAAAATGGTTGCAGACGCGAGTTCTGTCTCGAGTGTCTTTCGCACTGCGATGCACACGCGAGAGGGTGCATGACATGCAAACCAGCAAATCTGTTCGTTCTCCCCTTTGCGTAATAGGCAAAAAAGCGTGCACTAAGAAGAATGAAGGAGGAATGGCCGATAAAAAGAGCTTGCAGGCCGCACGCAACTAACTGGCACATTGGGGGGACATGCTACGGAGCATTGTGCTTGGGGTTTTGTGATTACGGTTTGAGCCCTCACGTTTCCTCCACGGGAACGATAGTGGGGTATGTCCTATGCAAGAGAACAAAGGGGAGAGAGCTAAGCGGAATGACGAGCAAATGCATGGCGATGGTCATCTTGGTCCTAGAGGGCGACATGCTATCCAGGAACATTAGCCCCGTTCCAAAGATACATACAATAACGGCAACCGCCACGATCGGAATCTTGAAAACCTGCAGTGTGGCCTTGACGTAAGTGACGTAAAAAGCAAAGGGAAACCAAATGTGATCCAGTTCAGATCCCAGAGAAGCATAATTATCCGCTGCACAGGAAACGCACACGACAGAGCTCCCGTCTGAAGCGCGAACTTGCAACGACACGCCCGCAACCTAACTCAGTACAAATATCTTTCAATTCTGTCCGAAGTATGACACGAAAGAGTCTTCGGAAAAGAGTTATCCAAAAAGAGTAGAAGGGTAGAAAGAGACTGACGAGGCACAAGAAGGAAGAGGAGACGAGGTTCGAAAAGACCTAGAAGGGAAGATAGCTTCAAAAGCAAGAAACATACCGACAGTTTCTGACATATCCATGCAGAATTGCACCCCTGCAATGACAAGTTGGAAAGCCTCGGCCAGACACTGTGAATTTTTCTGGCACTGCAGCACGCATGCATCAGGGTCTGCAGTGGTCTTCAGGCATCCCAAGAAGGTCGTGATTTCTTTGGAAGTTTGAAGGTAGGAGCAAATGGGATGACCTTTAGCAACCACTGCCTGGATCTGTTCGGCATTGGAAGTCCAGAGCATCTCCATCTGCGATGGCGCGCGAACTAAAGTCGGGAAGGTGGCGAGAACTATAAGAATTATACACATCCACTGAACATGAGGCACAAAACAAAGCAGGCCAAGACATGCATACACATCCTCTATACAAATCGCATACACATACATGATGAGGGAATACGGACAGGGCACAGGAAAAGGGAAACAGGAACTCCATTGAACGAAACGACGAAATATTGTTTTGGCACGGGGAGTTAGAGCAAGGCCAAGAACACAATATATACCAACCGGCTGTTACACAGCCACAGGGTGCATACGCAACTGGGGCGTATAGGCAGCAGCTTTGCATGTTATTGTGGAGTGTGTTTCTTACCACAAGGACATTGACGTACGCGTACAGTTCAAAGTGCTTCCGTACAGCTGGGATGAGCTTAGGAAAGACAGTGAGAATAAGTGATACAATGGCGATGATCAGATTCGCAGCAAAGGAAGCATGAAATGCAATCCAAGCGCCGAATGACTGATGGTTAAGTTCCACGTCAAGAAAACAGAGAGCCCCCAGCAACCACAAGACAGGAATCACCATGAAGATGAGTGCAATAAGCACTAGGAATAGCCGCCCTATGAAGAGCTGACTACAGATAAGGCTGTATTGCGTCTCAAACTTGCTATCCTTGAACGTGAGCGGGAAGAACTTGAGGTGATCCCACGCCCTAACCTGATCCTGCTGTTCAGTCCTTGTTGTGATCGACGACTGAAATCCGTCGCTGAGGCCCTTCGCGCGTCGATACGCAGCCCCAAAGTCAAATTCGCTGCCAAACATATCCGAGAAAAACTCTGTCATTCTTCCCTTGATGCTCTTCCAGCAACCGCTGGGAGCTCCTGTTGCCACCGACACCGCAGCCTCCGTTTGCTCATCATCGTTTGCTCGCGAGTATCGTTCATATCTGCTATGGGTCGTTCTGACGGATATGGCAGAGTGCGGGGGGCCACGGCTTGCTACCGACTCATCATAGTTCAGGTGTTGCTTCTCGCTCCTCCCATCATCCCGAAGAGAGTCTCCCATCTCCTTAGCTGTGGTAAGATCTGTTAAAGCACGAAGTAAACATTTACTGGCTATTCCTGCAAGAGCTACAGCTAGTACTCATGCTATCACTGTGGCTGCAGCTGCCGTATGAGCCGCTGTTTTAATGCTAATAATGTAGCTCTCGGTGCTCCTGCTCTGTTCACGAAATGATTGATGCCGTTGTGGCACCCAAGACTGCTGCGGCAGCTGCAGCAGCCGCTGCTGCCGCTTTTACTGCTTAAATGGTTGTTACGGCCGTTGCAGCGACTTTTGCTGCAGCACGCGCTGCTGTTGCCACACAGCGCGAGAAAGGGGCCTCCCAGGGGCCTCAGGGGGGCCTCGATTCGTGCAGTGTGCAAGCAGCAGGTTGCTGCTGCCTCAGGCAGCAGCAGCAGCACAATATATACTCCTTGTCAGGGATCAGCAATAAAAGACAGAGAGAAAAGCCCGGAGCCTCAACAGGGAGTGCCGCTGCCTCAATGGCTACCGCTGCTGCTACAAGGAGAATTACAAGGAGCAGCGGCCAACGAGTCCCTTAGTGTACACGCATTAACCAAGAGGCAAATAACGGGAAAACGCCTCAAGACAGAAAAGGAGAGGCGTAAATGCCGCCGCCCCTGCTGCAGTGTTATTGCTGCGTGCCTAGAGAGCCAGGGCCTTCGATTTAGGCGCTGCTGCTGTTGAGCGTTGTTCCCGCTGCTGCTGTCCCAGTGCTGCTGTCTCCTTTTACGCTCTAATAAATCCTATTCACTAATTTTTTAAAAATATATATATCCTTCTCATTTGCAGATGGGACCCCGGAAAGCAAGAGTAACCAGGAATACAGCAGAAGGGACATGCCGCTAGGACTGTGCGCTGTGCAGGAGCAGCAGGGGTAGCTGGCGCAGCAGCAAAAGGACAGTAACAAATGAAGATATTACTTTCCTCCGGAACTTTTGACACTTACTGGGTACGTGGAAATATTTTTACAACGAACCAAGAATACGGGGCCCATACTGCAGGACTGGAAAGATACTAATTTAGTAGGGTCACATGAATAGCAATGCAGGAAAATCAAACTACGACTCCACATCAGAAGTCCGAAGGCCCAGAACTACATGCTGTATATCATATGAAAAAGAGCCATTGTACGTGCCCACCTCATTTCCATTAGTAGCGACTGCTCTTGCACTAGACAGCCAATGTAGAACTGCGCAAATGAACGCATGAAGAACGAAGCTAACAAGCATGAGGGAGGCTTCAGCTGCATGTGCTTCACTTACAGGGCTATGGTGAAGTCCCTTCCACCTTTCTTGCTCTCAGCCTCCTTTTCCTGAATTCATTTACCCCCAGTCCGGCGCCATGAGGCCAGTGTCAGGTATACAGGAAACCTCCAAGGCAAGATCTAGGGGTTTCGCGACAGTACACGACTACCGAGTGTTTGAAGAAACCGTGGAAAAAGAAATAAAATGTTACGAGCTGGCAAGCCAGGTGCAATCTTTCCAAAAAAGGCCGAATAGGTGTCTGGCTATTGCAGGTAAGGCAATGAAACTAGCAATAAAGTACAGGACGAAACGGAGAGACGGTTAAGTAGTGGCACAACCTGACAGATTAAAATTCAAGGTCTCATTCTGTCAACCAGTTTTTGCCTAGAAGTGCATAAACAAGCAGATTGACTCACAAGCCAAATTGCATATCAGCAAAATTTATAGGCCAGTTCCTCTCTATTCCTTTCGTGTTATATGCACTATACGGATAGGACAAATGACAACCACAAAATTACTACCTGTCCGCCTTAGAAAGAACAAGCAAAAAGGCAGAACAGTGTAACCGAATGCCTCACGAAACAAATTAGTGTAGCGCACCTTTGCGGCAGCAAGTAGAAAAGAAAATGACTGACTCCAAGTGGTTCCTCCTTCCCCTCAAAATGTCCATTGAAACCAAGAACCCTATTTCCAGAAAGTCTACTGTCATCTAGCGGCGCAAGCCAGCCTGCTATCCCGATGGCTTGTTAGCTCTTGGTTTGCCGAATCATTACAAGCAGAAAGCAACTTCACTCCGGAATACTAGGCTCAAAGGAAAAAAAATGTGTTAACAGAATATTATGCACCCCGTCCTTTTTGCCTTGCCTGTTTCTGTATTTTCAATGTTTCTTCTGCATATAAATACAGAGAAAGTAACGCAACACCGTCCCACAACCTCTACATTGTCTGAGACAGAAACCGAGCTCGCTGATCTTGTGCAACAGGCGGAGGGCTTTCTCCACTGCAGCACTGAAAATATTCCATTTCCCCAAACTAGCGCTCAAGAGGTAACGGCGGATCATAAAGAAGCACACAAGCCCTCAAGGGCAAAAGCCTGCACGGGTATACGTCAAAAACGGCACTTTCTCTGCACGAGTGTGCAACTTTTGATAGAACAGCTATGCACAAATTTGTGGGTCCGTATGTACACGATAATCTCCTATTCAATACATGTACGCTAGCACCAAGGCCATGGGTATTCATAGACAAATTCATCTGAGGAGATGCGTTGGATACAGAGAAGAGGATGCGCTTTTTGAAGGGGACATTGCAGGGCTGCATATTGTTTTCCAATCTTACCAATCTTAATAGTATCGTGTGCCTGAGACTATCACCTACTTCCTCCGAAGCCTCTGCTGTGACCAAACTGGGGGATGGGAAGATACGGCAAATAGATACACACCAGACCAACGCTTTACGCAAACCACTTCACAGCTTTGCCGTCTGTTGTGTGTAGCCCCTAGGATGCATTGTCCTGCGGGATACCGTATGGGATGCTCTCTTTGAAGGGACATCCCTGCCATCGTACGGAAGGTGCTCAAATTTGCATGTGGCTTTGCCTTGCGTGTTTCTCAGATTGGCTGGATAATAAAGAAACAGACTGAATGGAACAGAATAAGATGGCGCCACGACGGTACTACACACGCAGCCCCGCGTTATGCCCCGGAGGATCACTGGTACTGTCCCCTTTCCCAGTCCGACATTTCAAAATCGTTTAGTAACACTGTGTCTGCTAGGCGTGCCAGCCCATTTGCTAAATCGGAAGAATACACTAAGAAGATGGAGATTTGAACTACAAAGGGCCCTAAGGTCCTGCGTGGCTTCGCGACTCTGTGGGCCTTGAAAGCCTCGAAGCGGATCTCGTAAGACTTCACAGAATCAATTAGAGCGAAATGTGTCGAAAATTCTCGAAAACCCTTTGCTTTTGAATGCTATGGAAGAGATCCGAAGGTTTTGAAATGCACCAAATGACAGAAAACGCTGTACACCCCCGAAGACCCTACGGGTCTTGGCAAAACTTCTGGGGCTCGAGCATTTTTCAAGGCCATAAACGACTATTATAGCGCAAGCAGCATCCCTAAAGGGCCAAAATGCCATGGAGAGTCAATCCCGAGGAGCGGGCTACAAATTGCCTGTTCGAAGGCTTAACGGGGGACAGCGAGGTACCACTATTGTGAACACACAGAGAGCTCGGGGGGCGTTAAGTAGGAACTGCACAGAGGAGGCATTCTCCCCAGGGTAGGAATTACAGTATTCATGAAGGGGGAAATTTATTGTACTTCATAGCCCTTCACAATATAGTATACACAGCTGCATGCATTAATCTAAGTTGGCCAAGGAGTGTTTTCTTTTAAGTACCACAAAATGGCTTGTTATCTTATCCGTTCCGATGTCATACTGCCAACTAGCGCGCTGTATCATGTTTGGAGAGATGTAAATAAGAAAAATATGGTCAGCAGTGCATTTCAGTAGTGTAATGCTTTTAAATACTAAAACGCCTATTCTATACAGGCAACTACAAGAGCGAAATGATGGTTAAAGTCCTTGAATACGAAAACCTGCATGCTCAGTATCTGCATGTCGTGGTACAGGCCCGCTTTCGATTCTGTCGTACATTTTCCTTTACGGGTGTATTGTCTTCTAAACTAGATGACAATGACAGATGAAAGATGCATCAGAGTTTATTGTAAGATGCATCACGTAGCCTACTCCTCTTGTTCACAAACAGCACGAAAAAAGCAGCATGCATTGTAACAGAGAAAGTAGCACATAAAGCTAAAAGTGCATACCCCTTCGAAGTGGAGAATTCGAAAGTACGTGCACTCCGGCAAAGTAAAACGGAGAAGGAACTTTTAAATGGAGGTTAGTACTTGTCGTCCTTGAGTAAGCGCTGGCGAAAGGGTAAAAGCAATAAAGTAATACGAAACATGGCTACAATGTGAATCCTGACTCGTCTAGTGAAGATAAAGAAGTGGGTGAGAAGGACGCAGCATACGGGAATGAAATCACGGAGAGAAGAGGGATAATATGATTAGAAGAACAAATAACGGACGAAGAAGGGGGAAAGGCAACATGGGAGAGAATAGGAAAGACGAACATAAAAAAGAAAGGAACAGAGGTATTCAAAGATGCCCGCCAGATTTTAGGACCCCAACCACTTGTAAAACCATCCGCCGATGTGCCTTTTGTTTTTTAAATGCCTCTTTGTTCTGCAACACAAAGATCGAATGCCCCACAATTAATAAAGATGTGGTTTTACCTATCGATGAAGAGCTACTTTGAGGGCGCACAAACAAAGATCAGACAATCAAAACAAGAGACGTACTACAGGCGTGGCAGCACAGAGCAATACAAGGAAAGATACACATAAAAGCGATATCTAGGAACGTCACAAGTAAGAGGATCGGCAGGAAAGCGTGCGTACGGAAATGCAAGCAAACTATTAACATCAGCTACGGGAAATTATGATGCAAGCCCGTCATCCCGTACACGCCATAATGCACCGTATGCACCATACCTTGCCCTGTCGGGTCGCAGCTTTTTCTTCTTTGGTCGCAAAAACAGAATCCAATCGCCAACACTAAGACCCCTGGCTCCCATAAAGCCTTCCGCAGGAAGCACCTGCCTGGGGGTCCTCAGGGCCGGGGGCCCCCACGTGAGGCTTAGTACGCTCCTCGTTGAAGCCTCATGTGCCGTGTAAAAACGAGTAGGGAGAAAGGTTGAGCAGATACTCCACAGTGTTGGGAAAGGATGAAGACAAGCAAGTCTGCATGACGCGACCATGGCAAACAAAAGAATTAGTGCACCTTATCCATTGTGCAAAGGTATATGACTCATCTACGCCGGATCACTGATCAGAAGGCGTCTGATAAAGTAGCAGTGCAAAACCGGGAAAATGAGATTTGCGTAATAAGCCACTTGCGGAGAACAAGGCCAGGTAGTGAATGCGCAGTGAAAGCGTGGAGACTAGCGGCTAAACACCAAGAAATCTAGTGAAAGTTAAGCTATCACACAAGAAATTTTGAAAAATAGAATTACAGCACTGCAACGAAAAGCGGTAGGCCACTACATGATGTTTTGCATGCAGCCCCGACTACTCCACTGGACACGAACCGTAGTATTCGGTGCTCCAGAAACTGATCTTTGCGTGTAGTGCTTTAAATTGATGTACAGGCTGGTGTGTGAAAGTCTTACACTCAATTAGCTCTCTTTGTCTTGGGTACAGCCAAATGCGCAACAGATTTTCTGAGTGACTGTTAATGGGTCTTCGTACTGTTGCTTGTAGGTAGACCCCGCTCTCCGATTACTGTTCAATTTGGTGTAGCGCAGGTGCCATGATAAATTGCACCCTATTCCCAGCATCCTTTTTCACGTTTGGCGTCGATTGTACCTAGCGCGCACCTTCCAATATCCACAGAGAGAACCGCTAACTAAAACGAGGAATGTATATAGAAAACTTGTTGTATATTCTAAGGAAAGAGCTGTTTGACGCCTTTCTTCTGAACCAAAAAGTTTTTCTGCCTTGCTGTGAAGGGGGTGCCGAAGTAGCTCGTCAAGCTGCGATTGCACAGCTGTACCTAGACCTGTTTATTCACTTTAAACCAGAAAATTTCGAATGCGAATGGTCTATGTTCATGACTTGACCACTAGTCACGAGGAACGGGTGCAGATAGAAAAAGAAATTTTGCTGTGTGGATAGCGCTGTGTTTCTCAGTTGTCGGTTAAGCTACACCAAAACACTTGCTAAAACACTGGATATGTTTTGCTGAGAATTTGTATGGTATTGACTAGTTGGTAGGTGTCTTCGCTTTTGCATTTATTGTAGGGTACTCTTAGCTCGACACAAGAGGACGCAAAGTTATGTAATTTTGAAGCACCTATAACTCCGAAGGGGAACCTTCACGTAATGCACGGAAGGAATGGGAGCAGGGGCAAGTCAACTGAGCAGAGGGCTCAGCAAAGTAATCAAAGCAAGCTCCTATGTGTCTCGATTGAAAAGAGCAAGTTTCTACAGGATCACTGCGAGAAGAGCACTCAGGACTATGCGCACTGGCTCCGATTAAGCTTAATCCCAAGGTCGAGAAGGGAGCACAATAGTAATGCTGCTAGGTGGATTTAGACGCAGGTACACGCAGGGCGACAAAGTTGACGAAAGTCTAGTTAAGGAAATAAAGACAAGCAGAAACCAGTACACGGTGTTACACTGAAGCAACAGGTGGCGCAACAAAATGCACAGATGCAGAAGGCCCACTGACCCGCTAGTTCAACGGCCCAGACGCCTCCTGTCGTGTCTGAATTTCCACCATGCACGGCCTCCTTTGACTAGTTCCTCTGTGTCCACTGGTCTGTTCCCCTTTATATGGTCTCTGCTCTTCCGTCAGTCAGAGACACCTTCCAATGCTTACCGCTTCGTGGGTTGGTGATGCCGTTGCATTTTGTGACTATCACAATTGATTTTCAAGCGTGGCATCTCGGCACATTGTATGGAGAAATTTTGGCGCAACAGCACATTAAGACCAGTCACAGAGGATGTCCTTTGCATCTATGTATCAAGCTCCCACATTATTCGACGGCAGCAAGCCAAGAAACCTAGTAAGCTGGCTACCTTGCTAGGTATGCAGCAAGCTACCTTCCCAGAAGCAGTCATTTTCTTAGCCAAAAAGGTAGGTAGCTGGATACCCCATTCGATTTCCAACTATTAAAGCGCGTGCCCAGGTGTTACGTAGCTGCTCTTGCACCTGAGCTCTCTACTGAGTCACCATTGTGCCTGCTCGTTCCTTAATAGGATGGATGCATCCCTCTATTCTACAAGTCTCCTGGAGCAGCAGACCCCCAAAAGATGGCCTTTTGTCCATGTGACGAGCTGGGCACCCAAAACACTTGTAATGGAGTCCCATGCGCCATATGAAGAGGGGCAGCGGCGTCGCATCCTGGCGGTACTGGGTATGACACTTTGCCCACTGTGTTGCACACATGTACCGTTTGTTTGTCGCCGTTTGCTTAGTCATGCATGTGGCTATACATCCCGGACCACTGTGCAGCCTGTTCCATGGGCGCCACTTGAGACTGCCCCCAAAGGCCCCGGGGTAGGAAGGCCCTCTTGGAATGCAGGGCGTAGCGGCGCCTAACCCGCCACCCCCGAAATGCAGCCTGTATATACACTGCGCAGGCCTCAAACAGAGCGGCATTCCCGAACGTCTCCCTTAGAAGCTGCAGTCGCTGTCGCATGTACACGCGGTCCAAGCTCACCTCTTTCTGTTGCTGCTCAGGATGCGTCTGTTGCCACTGCGGTTGCAGCGGTGGGTGCAGCTGCTGCTGCGGTATCTGCGGTTGCTGTGCCTGCTGCACCTGATGTGGGCTTGAGAATCGGATAGCCGCATGGGGTGAGGGTGCCGCAATGGAGCACCTCAGGTAACTCGACATTTTGTGTTTCTTAATGCTCCGCAGACACTGCGAAGCTGCAGCCAAGGACGCAAAAACATTTTGAACCTCGGCCTCATCAAACGGCCGCACCAGTGGCGGCGGCTCCAGCTGCTGTTGCTGTTGCTGCTGTTGCTGCTGCTGGCGATTTTCCTTGGTATAGCCAGCTGCAGCATCTGGGGAGGTCGCTTCTGCCACTCCTGCCACCTGTACAGCTGGGGGTACTGCCGCATGATGACTGTCACCGCAACTCACGTTGCTCCTGCTGCCCTCTGGATGCTTCTCTGGGGGCTGCCGTAAAATGGGCCTTAACTCCTGATATCGCCAAGAGGAGGCAGACGAGGGCAGAGAGCTGTTGATGGATTCGAAGGGGTGCGAATACTGTTGCTGCCCCTCGCAAGGTTCTTCCTGATGTTGGTGATTTGGCTGTGCATGCAGAGACTCCTGCCCAAGGGCACAAACACGATTTGCTGGCGGCCCTCCAGCCTCCCCCAGGTTATCTTCGATGTCTGACTGCTTTTTACCCTTGTTGTGGCTCTGATTTCCCCCCGAGTCACTCAGCGTGGTTTCTCTGGTGGAGGGACAGCTGGCGATTCTTGATGCTCTTTGGTTGTCTGCTGCGATGAGCGGCGCAACGTCCCGCAGTACCAACTGCGTGGACGCCTGTAAAGAATCGAAAACTGGGGTGCCCTCCTCAAAGTAACCCTCCTCTGCGGAGCACACGAGCACACGCAGGCTCGCATACTTCCTCTCTTATTATTGCTGCTGCAGGGAGTGAAAGGTCATTCACCTAATCGCCACCAGAATGCTTAGCGCACGGCAGAAGAGTAAGCCGGGTGTTATGCAGGAGCGCAGCACGCGCGGGGTTGCAGCAGAGAGGTTATAAGGCGTTGAGAAGTCTCCCGACTTCTGGCCAGAACTTTACGCCGAATTTCGTCTCTCTTACTAATCCAACGAAACATTTTTGTGCTTGAGAAGGGCCCCTGGATCTTCCCATTGTCATCCTGCAGCACATTCACCCCAAGCGTCAAGCCTGAGCCCTTTGGCCCCTAACCGCAGAGCAGAACTTTCACCGAGGAAACTTTGAACCTCAAGGAGAGAGCTCTTCGTAGCGGACCTGGTAGAGCCACATCTTCTCCTGTGCATCAAGCGCATTTCCCTTCTGCTGCTGGCCCTCTTTGTCAGGCAGCTTCAGGATGGTGGCAAGCAGAGTGCCGGACTGCCCTATGAAGGCCCCCATGAGCGCCACAGTGCTGCCTCCAGTACTGCTGCCACGACAGTTTGCACGGTGGTTTATAGGCACAATGCAACGCTCTTTCGGGCTCCGCCCCTCCTCTAGCAAGTCGAGCACAGCCTCACCCACCAACCAAACGCCAGGGACTGCTGCGGCCTCTCCTTCTTGCGCGTTTTGCGCTGTCGCATCGTCCCCCTCTTTTCGATGGTGCCTCCATACCTCCAAGACTATTTTGTTTACATTCAACAGCCTGAGCTGCTCCTCGGAGGGAACGGGCAGACAGATGTCTGATTCGAAGGTACATTTCTCCACAAAATATGCCCCTCGTGTTCCTGCCTCTCCAGGAGCCGTTGATGCTGCTCGAGCGCCTGCCTGTTCTGCGGCTTCTTTTGAGGCTGTCGTCGACACTGCGGGTGCAGAAGGCTGATTTTTGTCTTCCTGGTAAACTGACGCGGAAAACCAGGCCGTGGTGTGTGAGGGACCTGCAGCAGCTTCGTCAGTAGGCTCCGCTGCATCTTTCGCTTGCATTGCCGGCATAAAGTAACGAGCCGTTACACAATAGGCGGGGGTCCTTTCCAGTTCTGAGGCCTCTGCAGGCCTGTGAGGAGGCTTGTCAAAGCAAAACTGAATTGAGTGCAGCCGTAGCAACACTTTGCCCGCAGCACTGCCTTGTGCTAATCCTCTACGCTCCTTTCTGATGCCAGCCGAGCACTTCTCTTGATCCTGCGAATCCGGCTTGTCTGCTCCCGAGCAGCTCGTGAGTGTGCGGCTCTGAGAGGGGGAGCCTCGCCTTCTTCCAGAGGTGCCCCCTTCGCAGCCATCAGCGGCTTCTGCAGCTGAAATACGCCTCCTGCATATTTCAACTGCACGGTGTAAAGAAGCCTCCACTCCTGCGGGAGTCTGCTCCAGAAGGCGCGTCGGAGAAGCAGAAGTGACTCGGAAATTGGCACGACGCATGCGTACACGATGTTGTTGCTGCTGCTGCTCGCCTCTCTTCGGCGCGAAAGGCGCAGGGGTGACAGCAACCACGTCTTCCCTAAACCCATCTCTCCAATTACCAGAAGAGAGGCCATCCGAGAAGGTGTCGGCTTCGAAGCTGTTTGAGTTAAACAGCGAAACAGCGCGATTCGCAACAGAAGGCTGGAAGCTGACAGAACGAGTCGGTTGCGCTGGCTCCCCGGGGGGGCCCCTGGACTGCGAGCCTGCAGCAGGAGTCCACTCACTACCCTGCTGCTCAGAAAGGGAGACTTCTGGTGCATCTGATGCCCTGTACAGAATCATCGTGAGACACAGAAATGCCGCGTCCTAAGGTCCGTGTATGCAGAGAGTGTGAGAATCGTCTCTACAGCCCCTCCCCCCATAGGCATGCAATCGTTCCTGCTTTATTGACATACGTCTGCATAGAGAGGCACATAGGCCGGAAACCATAGGTACACACAAGCCGATTCGCGGCGAGCCCAAAGGGCAGGGCAGCAGCAGCAGCAGCAGCAGCAGAGATAGAGATAGAGAGAGACAGAGAGAGAGATAGAGAGAGACAGAGAGAGAGAGAGAGAGAGAGAGAGAAAGACAGAGAGAGAGAGAGAGAGAGAGAGAGAGAGAGAGAGAGAGAAAAGAGCAGAAGAGCACACGCGAGAACACAAGACAGGAAAGGAACTGAGGAGCAGGACTGTGTTCAAACAAAACGAACAGACGATGAGAATGATGAACTAATCTATATACCGCTCAGCACGCAGTAAATTCATGTTAGTCGTGCGTTTGCATGATATTTACTACGATTATGATCTCGTGA